AAGACAACTCTGGACTGGCGAGCCATACGAGTTCCAATTAATTTATCAACAATATTTGTGTTGCTAAAATAACAATTTATATTTAAAACGCCAAGCTTGCATTGGTAATTAAAAAAGGAATAAAGATTGGAATTACATATAAATTATAATTAAAATACAATTATTTCTGATAATAGTGCATGAAACCCCGTGTTACTTTGGTGTCCAATTAGTAAATATTACAAATTACTGACATCTATTGGCGAAATCAGTAGTTCAGCGAACCAGGTGGAAGAAGTCCCCGTACTTTTTATTCCTCGTTGACACAGCTTTTTCTGAGCGGCTGAACATAGGGATATAGTCCCCTCGCTCTAAGGACTATATCCTCTCGCTATAGCTCCTGTCTTCCAAGCTTCCGTTAGGACTCTGAGATCAACACTTGCTCTCTTTTTTTCTGCTGAGGAAATCTTTGAACTGTTTACTCCAGCATTTGTCTAATGCGCAAGTCTCTGGGTTTGAATAGCTTCGCGCATATCATCCAAATCGGCGTCCGTTTCACCTCAAATACCAGCGACGTCGCGAAAATTTTTCATTATTCCCTGCTGTTTTGAAGGAAATACTCAACTCTTCCATTAAGATATGTTGGCTCTTTCTAATACTTTTTCAAGAAGAGAATCGAACTATTTCCCCTCTAATCACCACATTTTTAAACCTCTCTTGCCGCTATAAACAGGTCATGGAAATAACTTATTTTTTCTTGAGTGCCCACAACTTGGAGTCTTGAGAGAGAAGGACTCTCTCAAGACTCGCTCATATAACCAGGAGAGTCGTGCATATAGCTCTGAGTTTCCTGCTTGTATCTGGTTGGGGAAATGGTCGTTAAAAGGGAGATTATGCCGTAATGACCTCGTCTGGAGACTTGGTGAAGTCCTGTGAAAATTACTTGAGCTGGGAATTTTCTTCATCTTTTTTTTTGTATGTTTGGTGAGGGGAAGGGAAGATTTATGTGGATGTTGATATTTGTGTCTGTGAGTAGATCTGTATGTGTCTGGATGTTAGAATGTAAGCGTTTGTATGTAAGTACTTGTATTTGTGTGTGTGCAAATACAATTTGGATATAAGTATGTAAGTGAGGGAACCAAAAGCGGCTGTATATAGTTGCACAAGTGTGTGTGTGAGTGTATGAACTTGCTTTATGTGTGTATTGGAACTTGAATGTGTATGTATACACGCGTATGAATACACATGTTTACATACGCGTGGTAGGAGAGAAAAATATCAAAGCATTCAGTGAGAATCCACGAGGTCGTCTCTGAATACTCTTTATATACATGTGCTTACCATGCTGTTCATATCCATCTGTATTTACGAGACTGAGCTCTACCTCCTGGGTCCAGCTAAACCGTCTCATGGATGGTAGTGTTGGTCTCTATGTCCCTGGATTCTGTCGTACGAAATCTGCAAGCATCAACTCTTCTCAGTGTGTCACTTATCTAATGATGAATTCATAATTTCTTGTGTTACTAAAGCTTGTGTTGGGTATTTCCATCTCAGTGGTTTTGTCCGTTTCACTGGGATCTTGTACGTCGTGATTATGTATCTTTAGTTTTTACAGCTCATACTCTATCATAAAAAAAATATTTTAACTATGAACCAGTGTAATGGCGAACCACTAAACGTTTTGCAGTCTGTGTCTAGGTGATGGGGCGAGGGGTACCATGCTGGTGCTGCACACTCATGGAATGATCATATACACGTGACTTTATGAATGATTCGTTTGTTTGTATTTTAAATTTGATAATTTTATCAAAAGTATAAAGTAATGTATGAATAATTTGATAATCATACCATACATTTCCAAGATTTTCATGTATACCTGAAAACATTCGGTCTATATTTGCCTAACTTATGAAATAACTTATGAGTAATGCCTGGTTCATAATTTTTTTTAGCATAAAAATATTTTAATTAAAAGAAACACCATTTCACAATGTGACAAACGTTCATTTTGTACTTTTGCCCTCAATTTGTACACTAGTGTCAGAAGCGTACACAAAAATACATTGTAATTTTTTTTTAGTTTATTTCCTTCCATAGACGTGGAATATTTACTTCCAAGTCTGTGGAAGGAAACATTCCAAACGTTTAATTATATACTAACCAGCATAAATTCATTTTCTTCTATCCACCGTGGACAAAGTTTGAGCTCTGTTAGACAACGTATAGTTTTGTGGGTTATTGAGCACTTAATCATATGTTATTGTAATATATAACCTTTTGTAGACGAGTATATACCCTTTACAATGCTAACAGGTTATATACGCGTCTGTATTAAATAGAGAGGGTTAAAAGTCTGCTACAGTACATAGTTAGTTATTGAGTACTGGAGCATATAAAGTGATCTTAGTACTTGTGTAATACTGACTAGCGTGTATACAATACATATTGTATATGTATTGGACATAGGACAGACAATACATATATGTCTTTCCAATGTAGACAGGGTTTAACATGTGATCTCTTACATGTAGTACAGATGGTTATTTAGAAATCAACCACAGAAAGTAATTACAGTGAGGAAGGAATTCTTTCTGGTATGTACTTTGGATGCTCTGTGTCGTTAGTATTCATCTTTGTCCCCTCCCTCTCTTGTTCCTGTTTCTTAAAACGTTATGTACTCACCTAGGTACTCACCTGGTTATGCTTGTGGGGGATGAGCTTTGGCATTTTGGTCCCGCCTCTTAACTGTCAATTAAATAGTGTATATATTTTTTAGCCTACCGGGCTCTATCAAATCTACATTTAAAATTGAGTATGGAGTCTGCTTATACCATATCAATGCATAATGCATTCCATTTGTTAATTACTCTAACACTGAACAAATTCTTTCTAACGTCCCTGTGGCTCATTTGGGTACTCAGTTTCCACCTGTGTCCTTTTGTTCGTGTTTCATCCGTGTTAAAGAGTTTGTCTTTGTCCACCCTGTCAATTCCCCTGAGAATTATGTAGATGGTTGTATGTCGCTCTTTATTCTTCTGTTTTCCAGGAACGTGAGGTTTAGCTCCCTTAGCCTTTGCTCGTACCTCATACCTCTTAGTTCTGGGACTAGTCTGGTGGCATACCTCTGAATCTTCTCTATATCCATACCTCTGAATCTGAACCTTCTGTGTGTGTAGTCACCTAATTGTACTCACCTAATTGTGCTTGCGGGGGGTTGATCTCTGGCTCTAGCCAGAGATCTAGCCAGAGATACGGAATGCTAGCCTAATGCTTTCAGTTCCCTTTCTCGAGTACTTTAGCCCTTCTTCAACCAGATACTCAAACGTCAGTACACTGTGATCTCTCATTTCTACTAGGGCCTCGAAGTCAATTTCCCTTATGTCGGAGTCATTCAGAGTGAAGACTAGGTTGAGTCTCGCTGGTTGGTCTTACACATACTTATATATGTGGTGTGTGTGTGTGTGTGTGTGTGTGTGTGTGTGTGTATGTGTGTGTGTGCGTACTCACCTATTGGTGCTTGCGGGGGTTGAGCTTTGGCTCCTTGGTCCCACCACTCAACTGTTAATCAACTGGTGACACAGTTGTGTGTGTTTGTCTGTCTGTATGTATATGTGTGATTATATTTTGTAATATAGTTGAGTGTTCAATTCAGAACCTACTCATCAATTTCTATTGCGAGAAAGATTCAACTCTTACACCCTCTTCCCCACCTCCCTCACCAGCTATTAGTATGTGGTGAACATATTAGTATGCTATTAGTATGTGGTGTTTACATATCTCCCAACGTTCTAATATTCCCAGTGTTTATGGTGCTTCATCAGTGAGTAATGTCGTCCTCCTCGACCTCCGTTCCCAGCGGGTTCCACCTCCTCAACACCCATTGTCACCAATTTTTCATTGACTCATCGCGTTAATATAATAATAATAATAATAATAATAATAATAATAATAATAATAATAATAATAATAATAATAATAATACACAAAGAAATCACCATAAATGTTATTTTACCGTGTGGGAACATCAAGCGCATAGGTTCGAATCCTCATCAGGGCCCTTGTGGATTTGTCCAATAATAATATTACTAGTACTACTACTACTACTAATAATAATAATAACAATAATAATAAAAATAATAACACTAATGATAATAATGAGAACATTTTAGTAGAGACCAAAACGTACCGGCACTTCAACGATTAAAACTCTTGTAAATGAGTGGCTAATAATACACAATATTCAGTATTTCCCAAACACTTGGAATGGACATAAAGGCGACGGCCTCGCTTCTCGCAGGTCGGAGTTCAATCTCTAACCGTCCAAGTGGCTGGGGCACCATTTCTTTCCTCTGTCCTATCCTAAATTCTTATCCTCATATGCCTTCTAAGTGCTATATAGTCGTAAGGGCTTAGTGCTTGACCCCTGATAATTACCTTCACCTCAATAAAACAATTAAAATCCTCCCACCGCCCCAGAGGCCTATGCAGGAAAAGTGCAGCTTTAGCCTTACAAATTCCACAGCAAATGTTTGTGACGTGTACAAAAATTAACACATGTTGGGTACGGATCAGTTATAAATGTTAATGTTATTTAAAAATATGTGTGTGTGTGTGAGATTAATTCTTGTAGATTTATATGGTTTCTTTGCCTGAAATTCCAGCAGGAAAATCACATTTTCTTTGTCAATCAAATAAAGTATCTGCAAGAGCCAGTGTTGCAGAGTGAAGGTCGGCAACAAACTATCGAGTCCTGGAGCTGCTGTCAACTTTCGAAGAACTTATACCATGTCCATGTCAAGTTTTAGCAAGCATCCGCTCACCAAGCCACAAGCACAATGAAAGAAGCAGCTTGACTCCATCATTTGCGATAAGCTTGACAATGCTTCCTGGACAGGAAAGTGCAGCTTGCGAAGCCCCCCGCCCCTACCGACATGCCACCTGCACCTAATGGCCTTGGGGCATCTCCAGATCCCGGAGGAAGGCCACCTAGGATCACTCGGCAGGGATTAGGGTATATATATATATGCCAGATCCTGAGCTCACAAGGCACAACCGCAGCCACCATCAACTGCTCATCACCCTCACTCAGGACCCGCCATCATGAAGACTGTGAGTGGGCAGGCTGACAGTGGTATATTATTTTTGGGCTGAGATTAAACGTAAGATAAACTAAAAATGAGGCTTGGTTTCTAGGCAAATATTGCTTATTTTGTATAGGAATAAGGCTGTTTACTCAAGGAAACGCAAGAGCATATATGTGGTACATGATCTAATGGGTAGAGTTCTGTATGATGAAAGTCAGAGAGTTAGAGCCCTTGTTGGCAGAGTGGCAATGGTACAGCCCTGAAGGGTACAGCTTCGATGGTTAATGGTCTGATATGCAGCACTCAGAAGAGTTGTGTATAGTGAAGTAAAATCATTTAGAAATAAATAATTCGAATGGGCTTGCTCGATTTTATTATTGTTACATTACGTTTTCTACTCATAATTATCATTGTCTAATGAGTCAAGGTGTAGGAACTGTCCGTCAGTATAACTATTAATGGAAGGATTCTGCTCTCTTGTATACAAAGCCCAAGATTCCTGGTGCGACCAGATCTAAATAAAGTATAAACATTGAGAGAGCTTCGTCCCTCTCGCGTTCCAGTCAGGTAGTGTGTATCCTGGAGCCCTCATGCCTCAGCTCGGACTCAAAATTTGTAAGTCACACATGTACTCACAAATACATGAGGGGAATGGGAAAATCGACCATGTTATCACCCTATTTTTATTCCTTCCTCGTCACAGATCGTCCTCGCCTGCCTCGCCGTTGTGGCCGTCGCCAGCCCGCAGTTCCGCAAGAGCGATGCTAGCCAGGCCGCCATCTTGAAGGACATCCGCTCCGACGACGGCAAAGGCAACTTCAACTACGAGTTCGATACCGAAAACGGTATCTACACGAACGTGGTCGGCCGGACGGGGTCCAAAGGCCAAAGCAACATCGAGGGGTCGTATAGGTGAGAATTAGGATCCGAAGGAATCTGAAATTTGCCGTTTTATACACACACACACACACACACACACACACACACACACACACACACACACACACACACACACACACACACACACACGCCAAAGCTCAATCCCCGCAAGCACAATTAGGTGAGTACACACACCACACACACACATCTATATATATATATATATATATATATATATATATATATATATATATATATATATATATATATATATATATATATATATATATATATATATATATATATATATATATATATATATATATATATATATATATATATATATATATATATATATATATATATATGTATATATGTAACTTTGTGCGGCATCTTAGTACTATTGTCAGATTCCCCTTGCCATCGGTCCATCTTTTGTTTGTTTACATTTGCTGGTAAAGAAAGCGGCGAAAACTTGGAAGAATATTAGCAGGAATTAATAGACATTACTGTGCTGTGTCATATGATCTTGAGTTTGTTTGAGCAAACATGTTTGTTTTCTTCAGGTTCACACTTGATGACGGCACTCGTGCTGAGGTCCGCTTCGTAGCGGACGAAGGGGGCTTCCGCGCTGAGTCTCCCCTGATCCCCACGCCCCACCCTCTTCCCGACTACGCCCTCGAGCAGATCGCCTTTGCCCAGTCTCAACGCGGACGGGACGCTGCCCAGGGAGGACGCAGAAGGCCATAATTGAACCTTTGGACATCATCTTCCACCACCACAATGACCTCGTCCACAGCTTCCCTTGGTACTCACATCTCTTGGCACATTCTTCAGAAGACGCTACGAAGTGCTTACGTCAGCCACAGACACAAGAGGATCATTCCGTGGGATGTTCCCGGCACTTACGTCGAGTGGGATGTCCCAGCACTCACGTCAAATCCAGCGAGAACACCTCACGACCAGATCATCCTGATGGGCATCTCGTGACTCTTGTAAATAGCTAATGAATGTGGCTTTAAGGGGGCATTATCCGACATGCAATATATAATGAGCGAAAATACACTGCTTGCAATGCACTTGTAATAAACATCATGCACATTTTCCTTGTGTATTCGTTTCCATCATACCTCCGACATGGAGGTCGTTGTAGTAAGACACCGCAAGGAGGCAACCCTTCCCTCAATCTTTTTTTATTGTAAACTTATGAAATGGAATGGCGAGATATCAACAGCAATTTAGTACAAAATTGCACTTATTAGTCGATATTCAACCATCTGTGGAGGAGGAAACTCCTTTGGATTTTAAAAATAGAAGAAATACTTAATATCCCACAGTAAAAGAAATAATAATTGCAACTTAATTGCAGACTCATATTCATAGGTTGAACCTTTCTAGTATACAGGATCTTCACTGTCTCTTTAATTTGTTCAGTAAAATCTAAAACCACGAAGGCATGCTATCCTAATTTATTCTAAGATAATATTCATGCTGCCTGATTCATTAAAACAGTTCAGCTGCAGACAAATGTCGATCCTTCATGGAAGGGTTTTCAACATGTCTTATTGCGCCATAAGCTTTTATTGCCTGTGGTTCAGCGGCTCCTGGAAGTGGCTCCTGCACGGCTTGAAGTCATGCCTGGAAGTTGCTCCTGTAAATGACTCCTGGAAGTCTATTTCTTTTCCCATTGTCGGGGTCAGAATGCTTGAGGGACTTGCGAGGGCTACCTTGGCCAGCGACTGATCTTCAAGATGCAACCCGCAACAGTTGCCTAACTTCCAGGCACCTATTAACAGCAAGGTGAAAAGAGGCATCAGGTGGAAGTATTTCTGTCCGACCGTCTCGCCCTCGCCCAGAGAATCGAACACGAGTTCAATCAGTTGTGGGCCAACAGTTCCACAGGTCATGAATGACCAGCTTACGGATCAGTAGCTGTTCCCAAAGCTGGCGAGCGTGCACCTTATACCAGCAAGGGCACAGTTTAAATCTTACCGTTGCCTATCATCTATATTCCACCAGGAGTCTCTCCACAATGTCACATAGATGGAGAGAGGTCAGGTAGTATAGGTAGTAATTCGACATTTTGCGTTTCAACGGTCAGAGGAAAAACGCTGAGTACTCATTTACCATAACATTTAGACTAGAAAAGCATACATTTACATGGATATAACTGTCCCTGCAACCCCTCCTCCTAAAAACAACGTCGCCTTTCGCTTGTATTCACACAATGATAAAAAATGGACGTAATTTGAAATGAAATCGGCTCACGAAAGTGATGTACTGTCCTGTTTTCTGTTTGAGTCCTCTGGCTTACTCGGTCAAGTTAGGTGAGGAAACTTTCAATTAACGGTTTTCATGACATTTTAAAACCTTAGGAAAACTTCCTGTCCTCCAAACCTACCAGCGGACCCTTAACTTAATGTTTTGGAAAAAATATTATCTTAATTATCAATAAATTAATTTATTGATAATTATTAATTAATAATAATTTATTAATCATATAATTATTAATGATAATTAATTTATTATTCCATTATATATTAATTATTATATAGATAAATACATTATCTATATTATCTTAATTAATATTAAAATTACCTTAATTTTTTTTCATTTTCAAATTACGTCCATATTCGGCCATACGGACAAACGGTCAAATTCAGACGTAATTTGTAAGAGAAAAGGTTACTGAGACCATGGGTATAGCTGTCCCTGAGACCATGGGTATAGCTGTCCCTGAGACCATGGGTATAGCTGTCCCTGAGACCATGGGTATAGCTGTCCCTGAGACCATGGGTATAGCTGTCCCTGAGACCATGGGTATAGCTGTCCCTGAGACCATGGGTATAGCTGTCCCTTGAGACCATGGGTATAACTGTCCCTGAGACCATGGGTATAGCTGTCCCTGAGTCCATGTGTATAGCTGTCCCTGAGACCATGGGTATAGCTGTCCCTGAGACCATGGGGTATAGCTGTCCCTGAGACCATGGATATAGCTGTCCCTGAGACCATGGGTATAGCTGTCCCTGAGACCATGGGGGATAGCTGTCCCTGAGACCATGGGGTATAGCTGTCCCTGAGACCATGGGTATAGCTGTCCCTGAGACCATGGGTATAACATTCCCTGAGACCATGGGTATAGCTGTCCCTGAGACCATGGGTATAGCTGTCCCTGAGACCATGGGTATAACATTCCCTGAGACCATGGGTATAGCTGTCATTGAGACCATGGTTATAGCTGTCCTTGAGACCATGGAGTATAGCTGTCCCTGAGACCATGGGTATAGCTGTCCCTGAGACCATGGGTACAGCTGTCCTTGAGACCATGGGTATAGCTGTCCCTGAGACCATGGGTATAGCTGTCCCTGAGACCATGGGTACAGCTGTCCTTGAGACCATGGGTATAGCTGTCCCTGAGACCATGGGGGATAGCTGTCCCTGAGACCATGGGGGATAGCTGTCCCTGACCATGGGGGATAGCTGTCCCTGAGACCATGGGGGATAGCTGTCCCTGAGACCATGGGGTATAGCTGTCACTGAGACCATGGGTATAACATTCCCTGAGACCATGGGTATAGCTGTCCCTGAGACCATGGGTATAGCTGTCCCTCAGACCATGGGTATAACATTCCTTGAGACCATGGATATAGCTGTCCCTAAGACCATGGGTATAGCTGTCCCTGAGACCATGGGTATAGCTGTCCCTGAGACCATGGATATAGCTGTCCCTAAGACCATGGGTATAGCTGTTCCTGAGACCATGGGGGATAGCTGTCCCTGAGACCATGGGGGATAGCTGTCCCTGAGACCATGGGGTATAGCTGTCCCTGAGACCATGGGGGATAGCTGTCCCTGAGACCATGGGGTATAGCTGTCCCTGAGACCATGGGGTATAGCTGTCCCTGAGACGATAGAAATAGCTGTCACTGAGAACATAATTAATTCCAATAAATAGTTATTATAATAATAAAACCATTATAATACTCTGAAAGATAACAAAAACAATGATACCCGATACATTTATTGAATAAAAATAATTATAAATATTAATACCAATAATTGTGACGCAAAGGGTAACATCAGAAAACAATTACAATGAACAAGGAAAACTTCAAGTAGAATTTCCCTTTTAAATAAAAATAAACTTACGTCAGTCATAAAGTCGACCAATACACTGTTAATACACTCACTATCCCGCCACAAAGACTTATATAGAACTAGAAATTAACATTTAATCAAACTATGATAATGCCTAAAAACAAATCTTTTAATAAGGAAGTTATTCAATCCGGATTTAAAATGACATAAACAAGTCATCCGGATTTAGGACTTGTCTAATCCGGCAGTGACTTAGTGGAAGGAAGAACGTTTGAGGAACGGTAACGGGCGTTGTCCAAAATATGAAGTGAATTAGTCAGTGGGTCATGACTTTTCATTGTGAGTGTCAGGGAGAGAGTGAGGAAGATGGCAGGTTTTTGTCTTTCTTATCTCATGTTTGTGTGGGGAGAATAAATACTGAAACTACTTTTTATGTGTGTGGTGTGTGTGTGTGTGTGTGTGTGCGCGTGTGTGTGTGTGTGTTTGTGCGTGTGTGTGTGTGTGTGTGTGTGTGTATACTCAGCTATTTGTGGCTGCAGGATCGCCCTTCTAGCTCTTGGACCCCGCTTTTCTAACTGTTGGTCGTCTAATGCAATGACTCCTGGCCTATTTCCCTATCATACCTGCTTTTAAAGTTGTGAATAGTGTTAGCCTCTACAATCTGTTCCTTTAGGTCATTCCATTTACTCAATATCCTTACACTGAAAGAAAACTTTCTAACATCTCTATGACACATCTGAGTCTCAAGCTTCCATTTGTGTCCCCTTGTTCTATTGTTATTCACTGTAAACATTTTCTCTTTTTCCACCCTGTCAATCCTTCTAAGTATTTTATACGTCTGTATCATGTCTTCCCTCTCGCTCCTCCTTTCTAACGTGGTCAGGTTTAGTTCCTTCACTTTTTCTTCGTACCTCATCCCTCACCTATACAACCTGGACAAACTGGAAAAATGGTCTAGAAATAGCTACTAAAATTTAACTTTGGAAAGTGTATAGTAATGAAATTAGGTGAAGGAAGCAGGAGGCAGAACACAAGGTGAAGGTGTTCTTCTGGGAGGTGAAATCCTACAGGAGTAAAATAGAAAAAAAAGACCTGAGGGTTGATATCAAACCGAACCTGTCCCCAGAAGTCCACATCAAAAGGATATCATCGGCGGCATATACTAGATTGGCCAACATAAGAACTGCCTTTAGAAACTTGTATTAGGAATCATTCATAACCTTGTATTCCACCTATGTCAGAAAAATCCTGGAGTATGCAGGTCCAGCCTTAGTTCATACCTAGTTAAACACAAGACAAAGTTAGAGAAGGTTCAGAAGCCTGCTACCAGACTAGTTCCATAATTGACAGGTATGAGCTACGAGGAAAGGCTACAGAAGTTAAATTTCACGTTCCTGGAGGAGAGAGGAGTAAGGGGAAACACAATCACCACCTACAAAATTCTCAGAGGAATGGACAGGGTGGACAGAGACAAACTATTTAACATATATACGAATATATGACATATATAGATGAAGTGTTTGCCATGGTCCTTAAGTCATAAATCCTTACGTAACACAAAGTACCAGATTCGTGTAAGGTTTCGAATGTGGTGCCGATTTGAAAGAGAGATGATAGAAATAATGAGACTAATTATCGACCAGTTAGCTTAACGTCTATTGTATGAAAGCGGCTTGAATCTATAATCACAAATGTCTATCATAAACCCATTCTCCTGTTTAGATAGTATCTATTGTGACGGTCGTCAATAGTCACGAATTCGTACGTACATAGCTTTTAGATAGTAGTATACTGACTAGTAAGGAATTCTTAAAAAATGAAGGAAGCTGAAACACACACTTAAATATTCCTAGGCCTAGTATAGCACACATATGTACTATATTAGGCTCAGATATCGTGTATTAGGTCGAAGGAGGTTAGGTTAGGTTAGTTTAGTTTGTCAATGCAACATAAGTATAAAATAGTTTTCCAGTTTGTCCAACTCAATAGTTCAGATTTCTATTCTC